AAGACCCAAGCACAACTTATCACTCACATGGACGCCATGGAAGACAGGCACAGAAGCCAAAATGTTAAAATTAGTGGCATCCCTGAGTCTATCACTGATGAGGAGTTACCCCACTACACCAGGCGGCTGTTAAGTACTATATTCAACCCCAGGCAGGCCAAGCAAACCATGGTAGATGGGATATTCCGCATACCAAAAGCAACCAAGGCCCCAGCGGACTCAACAAGGGATGTTATTGTCCAATTCCAGATGAGATCGGTGCAAATATTATTTAAGGCTGCAATGACAACCTACCTGCTCTTTCGAAAATGCTACCCTAACATTTTTCCAAGATCTCTCTAGACCAACCTCTGACCTCCACACTTCATAACCACTCAATTCCATATCGCTGGGTCTTCCCCAGGAGCCTGATCATTTCGCATGGAGGAAAAAGCTTAAGAATTACCACCACCACAAAATCAGACTCAGTGCTCTCGATCTTGGGACTATCGCAACATCTGGAACTTGAGACGCCAGCTCCCGGTTGGAGAGCACCACATAAGTGGGACATATCTAAAATTGTGCCATTCCAGCCATCCGGGACTCCCAATGTGGGGCTGGGCCCCTCTTCAGGAAATTCAACCTCCACTAGCCCATGGAGGAAGAAGCAGCACAAGCTAGGCAGCTGAAGGGGACTCGTACAACCCTGGCCAACAGGATTTTTTTTCCCTATTTTTCTCCTCCCTAATCGGGAACAGCGTTTTAAGTTTATTAGTTACGCATTAGGCACCATGTAACCTTAAAATACACAGTGGTACCAGGCATCTATAGCTACCAGCTGGTGAGGGCTTAGGTATAGCTGCATACTACCCCCACACCAACTACAAGCCCCTTTATTATTAGCAGATTCTTACTAGACTTTAAATATTTTTTTTCTTAAGTGCAAGCAGATTTGTCTCTCTGAAAGGGCCACGGGTTAGCGAGCACAATGGTAGAGGGGTGTTGGTAAACCACAACCACTGTACTGCCCAACTCCTATACCTATTTACTCCTGACAAATCCCACCCCCCTCCCCCAAGCTCTGGGTTACAGAGCATCCTACCCAACTTACATGATAGCAACTGTGTCAGCTTAACTCCAGAGATACAGTATAGCATTGTTCCGCCTGTTTTATTATATTTACTAATAGTGGTCCTTGCATAAGTCTAAGTATATATGTTATAGACAACTCATATTAGTTTAAAAAAAAAAAAGGTCTCTTTCCAGCTGATATGTGTGCACCTTGCAATAATTCTATACCTACAAAAATAAAAAATATATATATATAAAAAAGAGGCACTCAGGTGAAGTTGTTTTTTTGGGGGTGAGGGGGGCAACCAAAATCATCTTTGCCTGTGTACCCAAAAATCCTTGCACCGGCCCTGGGTACCAGCATTAGCTTTTCCTTGCCAGCTCGCTGCCTTGGTGTTATTTTTGATTCTGGCCTCACCTTTGCCACTCACCTACAGTCTGTTAGTAAAACCTGTTGATTCCTTCTTAATAACATTACCTGTATCCACCCCTTTCTTATGCACGATGCTGCTAAGCAGCATTAATTTCTCTCTTTAATTTCCTTAATTCTCTCCTGATTTGTCTTCTCAAGCTGCCAGGCTGATTTTCCTTTCCTTTCGCTCCTCTAAGACCTTGCCCCTTTGTCAATCTGTACTTTGGCTTTCTGTATCCTATAGGAATCAATTCAAAATACTAACCATTACGTATAAAGCAATAATTCGTAGGTATACCCTTCTCAGTCTTTCCCCTCTGCCTGTAACCTTCTCCAGTCGGCAGCTTACTGCTTGCAGGACTTCTTGCAGGCAGCTCTGTTCGTTTGAAACAGCCTGCCTACCCCCATCAGACTGTCCCCTGGTCTTCAATCATTTAAGAAGTTCCTTTAAAACCCATCTCTTCAGAAAAGCTTATGACCTTTTAGGGCAACTTATATTTCCCAAACTTGTCTATTGCTCTCTTCTGAAGGGCCACACTCACCTCCAGTTCTGCTACTGCCCCTACCTTCCTATTGCAATATTTTATACCCCACATCCTCCTGACTGTAAGCTTGTTTGAGCAGGGTCCTCATCAACCTATTGTTGTGTAATGTTTTGTAATTGTCTCATTTATTTATATAATATGTGTTGGCACTATATAAATCTGTTTTTCACATTAAATATCATTAAATATCTGCCACAAAAAAATCTTTTATACCTTCTATTACAGTGGGCCAACTGATCGACGCACAAGGATAACATCACTCATACCTGAATCGTATACTGTTTCTGCTGAAAACCTCAAACAAACAGGCCTTAGTAATTATTTGAGTGTATATATAGTAACATATACAGTGAGAGAAAAAAGTATTTGATCCCCTGCTGATTTTGAACGTTTTCCATCTGACAAAGAAATAATCAGTCCATAATTTTAATGGTAGGTGTATTTTAACAGTAAGAGACAGAATAACAAAAAAAAATAAAAAATAAAACAAAATTAAGAAAAACGCATGTCAAAAAAGTTATACATTGATTTGTATGTCAATGAGTGAAATAAGTATTTGACCCCTTCGACTTAGTACTTGGTGGCACAACCCTTGTTGGCAATCATAGAGGTCAGATGTTTCTTGTAGTTGGCCACCAGGTCTCAGGAGGGATTTTGTTCCACTCCTCTTTGCAGATCCTCTCCAAGTCATTAAGGTTTCAAGGCTGACGTTTAGCAACTTGAACCTTCAGCTCCATCCACAGATTTTCTATGGGATTAAGGTCTGGAGACTGGCTAGGCCACTCCAGGACCTTAATGTGCTTCTTCTTGAGCCACCCCTTTGTTGCCTTGACTGTGTGTTTTGGGTGATTGTCATGCTGGAATTGTCAATGCCCTGGCTGCAAAAAGGAGGTTCTTACCCAAGATTTGATGGTACATGGCCCTGTACATTGTCCCTTTGATGCGGTGTAGTGGTCCTGTACCCTAAGCAGATAAACACCACCAAAGCATAATGCTTCCACCTCCATGTTTGAAGGTGGGGATGGTGTTCTTGGGGTCATAGGCAGCATTCCTCCTCCTCCAAACACGGTGAGTTGAGTTGATGCCAAAGAGCTTGATTTTGGTCTCATCTGACCACAACACTTTCACCCAGTTCTCCTCTGAATAATTCAGATGTTCATTGGCAAACTTCAGACGGGCCTGTACATGTGCTTTCTTGAGTAATGTCATGATTTCCACTATCATGTCTGTACGATCGGCATTCACCTGTAATGACTTCTGGGTTTTCGCCGATCCAACAACGTCCATGCGTCTGACAGCACGCGCTTCCTGTCACGTATTCATCTGCACAGAAAAATGTGGTTAATTGCATTTACCGTCCTGACAGGAAAAGTTATGATGAGCAGCATTACCGTCCTGACAGGAAAAGTTGTGCCGAGCAGCAATCTTGCACATAGAAGCCTTGTGATTGCTTTTGGGGTCAATGGCCGGTCATGGCCAATCAGATACACAGGAGGGCTTGTGCTGAGCAGCAATCATACACATGGAAACCTGGTAATTGCTTTTTGGGTCAAAGGCCGGTTACAGCCAATCGGATCCAACACAATTCTCCTTTTACTCATTTCCCTGTCGTGGTTTCATCCTGATGGTTACCCAAGAGTGCGTTTCTGATCTTGATTTTCTGGTATTTGACTTTGGCTTCGCTTTGACTTCCCTGAATTCTGGTATCCTTGACTTTTGGCTTTCCCTCATCATTGTGTCCAATTCTGTGTTCCTGACCTCAGCAAGTATTTTGACTATTCTTGGATACGTTAAGTCCGGCCATTCTAAGGTCCGGTTATACGTTATCCTTAGTCTTAGGTATGACAAAGTTCTGCGTGCTGGATCAACTTGTAATCCTGACACTTCCATAGTAAAAGGAAGCCGTACCCACTGTCAGATCGCTCAATCAGTTTGTTACCAAATTGTTGCCAAGTGCCAATTGAGCTCCTTCTCTCGATAAACTGTGTACCGAACCTCTGATACCTGATATCAACATTGCTGACTTCTCATCTCCCAGACTCAGAATCGACTTTGACTACGTTTACCTCTAATCCCCAAATTACTTCAATGAACCTCTATCTTCGCTAGTTTGGAAAGGACTTCCTTCATTAACATTTACTAGGACTATTAATTTGTTCATACTTACAGTTATTTGGAAGGATAAAAGGGAATACTTAAGTCTGCCCTCTGGGATCCTATATTGCTTCTTATACAATTTGCTTTGTTGAATCCTGATCAGCTGTTGATTGTCTACTACGTTTATTTCATAATTGCTACTAAAGTCTAACGGACTGTGTTAAACTTTCCTTATCAGGATCTGCTTTATTTTCCTTATTACTACTGAAGTCTAATGGACTATTAATTCTAATCAGCATCTACTTTATTTCATGGTTTCTACTAAAGTCTAATGATCTATGTTAAGCAAGCCTAAAGAGGAGCTACCTCTACTTTATGGAATATTGTTTACAATTTATATTGCTAAAGACAATTGTTAAATTGAATATACCTAAAAGCAATAAATCAAATCTTCTTAAAGTGACAGCATTAAACTCATTCCTTCATCTGCAGTTGAGTTCCAATTGAACTTTTATTACTAAGTATTACAGTATTAAGCAGGCGGACCTTGTGGGCGCTGCAGGATTTCAGTCCTTCACGGCATAGTGTATTACCAATGGTTTTCTTAGTGACTATGGTCCCAGCTGCCTTGAGATCAAGGCACCGTTCTCATAATCATTGAAACTCCACGATGTGAGATCTTGCATGGAGCACCAGACTGAGGGAGTCTGACAGTTATTTTGTGTTTCTTCCAAATGCGAATAATCGCACCAACTGTTGTCACCTTCTCACCAAGCTGCTTGGCGATGGTCTTGTAGCCCATTCCAGCCTTGTGTAGGTCTCCAATCTTGTCCCTGACATCCTTGGACAGCTCTTTGGTCTTGGCCATGGTGGAGAGTTTGAAATCTTATTGATTGACTGGCTTCTGTGGACAGGTGTCTTTTATACAGGTAACGAGCTGAGATTAGGAGCACTCCCTGTAAGAGAGTGCTCCTAATCTCAGCTTGTTACTTGTATAAAAGACACCTGTGAGCCAGAAATCTTGCTGATTGGTGCTGTTTGATCAAATACTTATTTCACTCATTGACATGCAAATCAATGTATAACTTTTTCACATTTTTCTGGATTATTTTTTGTTATTCTGTCTCTCTGTTAAAATACACCTACTATTAAAATTATAAACTGATCATTTCTTTGTCAGTGGACAAACGTTCAAAATCAGCAGGGGATCAAATACTTTTTCCCCTTACTGTAAATGGTCAAAACTGTATTATTCTTTGTAGTTTAAAAATATTGTCAAGATTGATCAATGTTGACTTTAGACTTTGGTGGATATTAGATCATTCTTATCATAGGAACTGTTGTTTTAAACAGGCTAAGTGTGAAGAAACAGCATTGGTAACCACAAAATTCTCTGTGCAGATGTGTAAGTGAGATAGCCCTTTGTGTAGTTTCCTATGGGCTATAACTAGTTACTTAACAATAGTAGGAAAGGCCACTTCTTTGTTTTCCTTTTATGCTGTGTTTTGCCCATGACATCAGGAAAAATACAAGTAAAAATATTCAGTGAAAATATCTTGAATTAATATTAGATATTTAAGTTTCTCTTGGTTCTGCTGAAGTGGAGGGGGATGTCAAATGACACAATATGATACATTTACAGTATAAATAAAAATCAAGTCATATTTGATTTTTAAAGAAGTATTTTCTTTAGCTGTACTCAGAGGCGTAACTAGAAACCACAGTGCCCCGGTGCAAAAAGTGCCCTGGGGCCCTCCCATGCATATTCCCCCAACCCTCCATTTGTATAACACATACACATATAGATACATACACGGACACACATGCTAATACACAGACACACATAATGACACACATTCAGATACACAGAATGACACTTCTACAGATACACAGGCACACACTGATACACTTTCGGATGCACAGACACACATACAGAAAGACACACATATAGACACACATGCGTCTCTCCCGCGAGGCGCTCTGTTAGCTGGGAGGAAGTGACAGCTGCCTCCCAGCTCAGACGTCGCCAGGAAATCCCGGTGGGGCCGCACTACGATGCTGGCGGGCATCCCAGTTGCAGGGTAGTTCCGTCAGTGGCTGTACTCATGTACATGTTATTGTAGACATTATGACTTATTTTTATGATGATTTATTTTATGCCCACTTTGTATTTTTTGTACTAAAGCAGCAGATACCAGCATTATTATATATATTTAGTTTAGACACACATACACTAATCCTGCTTTATCCTAAAAAACAAAACAAACATGCAAATAATTCAGTTTGCTCATGTATAATTAAAACAAAATGCTTAAATTCAATCGCTGTTGAATGGGGCATTATACAGCATGCCATAAGATATAACTGCAAAATAGAACTTTTAAAGTAAATAGATCAAAACTAAAAAAGTGATTAGATACGGTCAAATTAATATCTCTGTGAGCAGTATCTTTTACATCTTGCCATCTTGTGTTATATTTGTGTTTTGGTGTTTTTCCAGTCCCTTCAGAGATCTATTTAGTTACGGTACTCTCCCTAATGAATCTTAAACTAACAGCAGACTGTACATGCTTCACAAATTATGTACTTACAAAATGTAAGTAATCAGATTATAACCATAAGAGCCCATTGCCTTTATCTTGAAACTTGACCTTTTGGAGCAACTGAATTATAAAGACCTGTTGATATAACAGGAAATAAACAACAGGAATTTGTGACAAGTCTGAGAAGAGCATCTATGATTATTTGATTTAGAAAGAAGCAGGGTTAACAGACAAAGGTATTTTAGATAGAGCATGGCAGAGAAGCAGGGAAGAAAAAATGCTTTTCTGTTAGTGAACAAACCCATACTTCTTCACAAATAATAGCTAAAGTAAAAGAATACTTGGAACCTGCATAGCTTGTATTGATGACTGAGTTGTATAATCTCAATGATGCATCCTCCAATGTGATTTTACAGAATAAAGATGTGTATATGAAGATTGCTGGAAGTTAAACTGTTGCCTTTGCACAGAGCATTGGTTAACATGGTGCTCTGAGTACTTCATTAAATTATTAAATGAAAACTCAAAGCACCATAACCACTACAGCGTATAGTTAAACCATTTTAAAATTAGTTGACTTCTTAACTGGGATCTGCTAGAAAGTCGCAAGGTCTCTGAAATGTTCTCCTGCTTAGGAACTTCTGTCACTCTGGCAGAAGTAGTAGCATAAGTTGGAAGCTTATGGTTTGACTACTTACAACGGGGAGTTCCAAAGTACTCCTGGCACCATAATCACTACAGAACACGCTTGTGGTCATGGTGCTTGGAGTATTTCTTTAAGTTTGCTGCCATGATTTTTACAAATGAATTTGAAATTAGCATTTTACTTGTCTCCTGTTTTTTTTTTCTTAATTATTTTTACTTCATAAAATGTATTTCCGTTGATCAAAACTTTTATTTTAAATAAGATTTATTGTAAAGAGATAGAAAGTAAAACCAGCATCCACCAGATGGAGCACTTGAATTCAAAAATATAAAATTCAAAACTTAACCTATAGATAACTCTCCTTTAGTAATGGTAAGGATTATGACTATGCTTTGGGTTAGAGCTAAGGGTAAAATATTTTCTTTTTGGTAGAAGTGAAATAGTCACATAAAAACACTATAAGGCTTATTTACGAAAGTGAGAATTGTTGTGCATTCAAAGTGAATTTGAGTGAATTTTAAATTTAAGCCTAGAATAGCCAAACTGAATTCAACAAAATCAGAAATTCTTCCAATCACCCAATTAGCGATAATTTGACTGAATTGCAGTTAGCTTTGAAACAAATCTCCCAGTCTAAATATTATCTTTAAAACAATAATTGCTTTCTTGCAATAGCACAACACAACAAACTAAATAGTTAAATACTAAATACATTGCAAGTGCATGTATAGTTATATCAACTTTTATTTCACACAGTATTCTCAAGGGTTACGATTTGTTCTCAGTACTACCGATCACCTGACACCCCAGGGCTTAATACCAAAAAATGCGCTACACCACATTTTATTACCACAAGGCTGTCGTAGCCCAATAAGCCCACCAAAGTTGCTACTTTGGACTTCAAAATATAACATAGCAATATACAATAATATCCCACAGCTGTAAGCTGTTACTTTTGTTTAGTAAGATTGTTACTTTTTAAACTGGTATACTATATAAGACTGTGTGGCTATCACTTGTCCATATGGTTTTAAGTATTGTTAATTACAGTGGGCAGACTGGGCAAATTTAGCAATAAATATAAAGACCTGTTTAACACACTGTATGGCACCTGAGGATGATCCTAGTTAAGACTAACTTACCAACGTTCAGTTCTTAAAGCTTGGTTTTTTTTGCTAACTTTTTGGAGGTAAATGCTATATTCATGTTTTTTTTTCCATATGTGTTCTGTCCAGTCTGTAAATATTTTGTAAGAAGAAAACTTCCACCACCATCAATGTTGTGCCCTAATAATGATATTGCGCTTTCCCCCACCATTCCAGACATTTTTTAAAGTCTGTCCCAGTAAGAAGTTGCCTGTGAAATGAGAAGAGGAGAGTCTGCAGAGCAGAGGTAGCAGTCCATTTTTTTCTTCACATACTGTGAAATCACTGCTTTAGATAAGTCTATCTGCAGTAGAATCACCTCTTCTAATGGAAATAGTTGTAGCATCATCTCCTACCAGTGCCAGATGTAGCTAACTCAGTGATATTATTATTATCACTACCACCTCACATCCCATTAGCATTAGTCATCAAAGTGCTAGTGTAGAGGCTGCTGAAGTGGCAGATTCCAGTGATGCAAATCCATCTGCAGCTTCATCAGCCACAAGTCAATTCCTGGAGTGTATTGCAAAGTGCAATTTGTGCGGCTAGAAAGTGAGTAGTGGTAAAATAAAGGGTCATCTCACTAATGTCTATGAACCCCATAGTCACCAGCAGTCTGTATTACTTAGGGCAGAAGCAGAAACAGAGTGTACTAAGGCAGGCAGCAGCTCCACTGGTCCTGTATTTGATTCTGTGCAACCAATTACCACCACTGGTACTTCCTCTGCCTAACTGCTACCACTGTTAGACAGAGCATGGGTGATGTTGAGCCTGGTGCCACTAGGCAACAAAGACCAACAGATATCCGGTCCACATCATCTCAAGGACATGTTCGCCAGACCACTCTTGAACATTTTGTTAGAGTTTGTCATTGACTCCCATCAGAGGCATGTGGTTTGGACTATAACAGGGCAACTAGTGGCAGTTCTTAGTCCATTTAAGGGCATGACAGACAATTTGAATTATATATATATATATATAGTGGTCTGACGAACATGTCCTTGAGATGATGTGGATGCCTTCCTAGAAAACTTCAAATTAGTGATCAGTAGGCTGAAAGATCTACCCAAGGCTTGTCTGAGCATATGAGTTGCAAATTGTCCTGAACTTAACTTCCCTGTGTGATTTTTGGATACGCCAACATACTGAATGGACAGACTTATTAACAGGATCAGGGATTTGCAAGTGAAAGTAAGGCATGCAGGTAGAGGGAGATTTTCAGCTTGAACCTGACATGTGCAGCAGCACAACCCCAATGCAGCAGAGTTGAACATTTCCATGGGCGGCACAGCTCTTGGTATTTTGGTGCAAGCAAGTGAAACACCAAAAAAGCAATAGGAGAGCAGTGCATTTACCTGTATGAAGTTACTTTACCTCCTACTGCTGATCCTTTGAGCTACTGGGATGAAAAGAAAGTGTATGGCCTGCAGCTATTTCCATGTCCACTGACAACTGCTCAAAGTAAGTGAGCTTTCTGAATTCACAATGCAGTGCAAGGCTTAGCTTAATTACTGTGAGTGTCCACTGATCACTCAGCCAATTAACTAAGCCCTGAAGGAGACCTAACGGAATTTACACCTCTGTAGTGTTTGTAGTGGTGACTGGGAGCAGTGCCCTGCAGACTCAAGGTAAGAAGTGAAAACTATTTACAATGGGGGAGGGTTGCAGGATACTCCTGGCACTAT